AAAATCTCTGGAGTTCATTCTGGAAAAGCACTTCGCAGTTTTTAATGTTTTCTATAGTTTTTGGTGGGAACAACTGTTCACAAATGTTTTTATATTCCTCCTTATTGACACTATTATGGCGTAATGCCTTCATAGCACTTATCAAGACATCATTATATATTTTGCTTTCCTTTACGAAGTAGTCAAAAGAATCTATTGAAAAATTGATAAGAATAAATCATAATTAAGACACAATAACTATGAATCACCTACTTTATATCCGTGTCAATTTATCCATCAAGGCCTCTACAGACAAAGGTCCCTCTGCTTAAGTGTCTTGATCAACAGTGCTTTGTTTTATTTTAAGATTGAATTCAATTCTGTGTCGGGTGCAAGAACATTAGTCAAATAAATATGATACACAGAATTTTATAAAAGTAACTACTCACAATAATCTTCTTCTTCCTAAAACTCATCTTCAAACACCCTTTTGGTCCTCTTGCGGTGATCCCTTCCTTACGGCTCATCTCTTTGCGAGGCTTTACTATCCGCTGCCACTCTTCTGGCTTTTTCATACGATGCTAAGAATTCAAAGCAAATAAATATCACATAAACAGATAGTGTATAAACACTACAAACTATGTCCTAAAAAGTAACTTACGAAAATATATATTCACAGATAAAAGTTTCAACGCGACCCATGTCTTCTTCGGTGCAAAGTGGCCCAACACAAAAGCAGAAAAGTGCCTTGTGCTCTATGGAGGCCACCGCTTGTTTTATTTTTCATGTAGGTTATATTTTACCCACATGTTCCGCATTATTTCTTCAGTGATCGAAGTGTAATTGTTTGTTTTTAATCCGAGAATATATAAAATGAGTAAACGTAAAAATTTCGCTGATTTATCTAAGAGAAGAGTACAACAAATTTTAATTCAAAAAGTTGATAATTTTCAAAAGTTTGTGAATGGAAACGCGATTCAGGACAATACTGATACTTTTTCATAAACTAGTGGTACAAGCGGTACTATTGTAGACGTAGCCAGTGTAAGTTCAGTTTTTCAATTCAATATCGGCAATAATTCAATGCAAATATATCTTGAAAAACTTTTGTTGCAATTGTTTTTTTGAAAATGAATTAATTAGGGTATTATGGAATAAAATAAAATAAGAAAATGTACGAAAAACATAACCTGCAAAATGGTAACTATCTAGTAAATTATATTTAATTTAAATAATATTGTATCTTGTGTTTTTCTTTGGTAGAGTTTTGCATGGCAATCCATCACATAAAAGCATAACTCGTGTTCCAGAAAATGGAGAAAATGGTTTTTGATTGGCATTTTTTTATTAATTTATAAATATACTTACATGTGCCACTATCTGAGCTTACACTTTCGGATAATCTCGGATATTAAATAGTTTAGTTGTATGTGCTACTATTTGAACATACATAGTTTTATTTGTTTACGAGTTACTTGTTGAACAAAAATTAATCTTATGGATCTGCGCATCATTTCAAGCACAAAAAACTATTCAAATTAAGTATTGTATTGCTGATGTCAAGTGTCGGTAGTTTTCTTAAATTATGTTTTTTTATATTAAATATGTGTCGTCTTTGAATATGTAAAATTTGTTCAAATGCATAGGATTTGGATATAAATTGTAATTGCTAAATGCTAACAAAATAAATTGAGAAATATTAAATAACAGGAGAAAAATAAGATTATGGTGATAGTAGTGTTATTAATGAAATAATATGGTAATAATGAAAAATTATTACGTTGATGAAACAAAATTGAATATTGAACTAAAGTAAAAACTCTGTTATTAATTATATTACATCAATTATAAAAAGAATTTATAGATATAATTATCTTAATTTAGCAACAATAGATCGCGAAAGAGGGTTAATACTAATAACGATTGATAATATCATGATAACAAATTGCTATTCTATAGCCTCCAGATGAAGAATAAATATGTATTAATGGAAGTGAAACAATTTAAATGTTTAGCCATATTATTTCAATGCGACAGAAAGTCTTAATTTGATATAAAACAAATGATGCATAGTTTTGCTTCTACATGAAATAATATGAGTCTAAAACATGTCATGAAAGGAGTCAAACTTGGCCTAGACTAGGAGTTTGTGAATAATACATTTTCTGTACAATTTTCAACAATATATGTATATAATAATTATGATTCAAATATCAAATTAGATGGGATCAGAACATTAATGACTTGGGATTTTTAAAATTTTGGTACTATTCGTTTAGAAGACAGATTCAGATGCGATAATGCCCAAAGAAAATGGATTTTTAATGACTATTGTGGTTGTACCAATTCTAATAATTTGATCGATACGCCAGACCGACGAGTGACTTGAAACATCTGTGTAAGAAATTTTGCGAAACTTTTTACAATCTAGTCAAAGATATTCAAATTTATTTTACTGATTGTAAAAATAGTTTTCGACCAAATAGAAAGAGAATGGGCACTAAAGATTATAGATTTTCACATACATTAACACGACGTGTTAAAAAAGTGGTAGTCTCAGTTTAGTCGTCGGAATTTTAACACATCCAATGGATTTTGAGGTATTTTATATCGGTGACAATCACAATCAAAGACAAACGAAAATATTTTAATACTTGCAGAAATAACTTAGTCGTGAATATTGATTTGCTAACTTATGATGACAAAATCTTGGAACCTTCATCTGACTTACCTGATCTTTAAGACAATTTATTTCCAATCTTCGACAAATTATTTATTTGTTTAGCATATATCACTAAATTTGTGAAGTCATATGATGGAAATGGAGACATGAGATGCAGCATGGATATTATAAAAATAAAAAGTGAGGCTTAATAAAATCGATCTTGTACTCATTCCACGATATTTAAAACCGATATTAACTATTTGTATTGACATTTGCAAATATTAAGAAAATTTTGGAGGATAATTAATTACCATTTACTCATGCAATAAAATACATTTAACTACTTTTTATTATTCAACAGGCAACACATCATGAAACGCGTAGAATGTAATAGTATTGTCTTTGTTTTTGACAAATATTTCTAATTGGAAAACAACAGACACTCGAACACATATCAACAATACATACAAATTAATATATCAATGTGGTAATTTGAATGTAAAATTATATAAATCAATTCAATAATATAATTACAATCATTATATATAATAGTATAAGAACACATATTATGTCTTTGGTAGATATAGGTAAAACAAAGTATTTTGTCTCACAATTATACATTTACATATTTCTATTTACCACTATATTTTATATACACACATATATTGCGCGGCATAAGATTTATTTTTGAGCGTACAAAGATGCTGCACATTTTGTAGTAGGCGAAGTTCCTATTTTTATATTATTATATGCATTAGAAACAAAAATGCTTTATCGATATTTTCTGGTTCTTAATACATTCCATTTTTAATATTAGATTTATTTTCTTTTTATATTGTTGTTTGTGCCATGCAAACTCTAGTGGAATATTTTATTTTTATTATCTGAACGATTTATAAATATCATTTTACCAGCAAGTGCACTACTTTTATTTCAATTTCATCTTTCACATGCTATTATTTCATAATTTTTTTAAGTTACATATATCAAGTTATGTTTATCGAACAAAAAAGTATTAGGGTTTCAATAAAAAGAACTTTTCCGCGAAACTGCTGATCGATATATATTTTAAATTCACAGCTAGTTATATTTATGTTAAACTCTATTTGAAGAGAGCGTACCGATTCAATATAAGTTTCCTCTAAGCAGGTTTTAAATCTTCAAATAGAGTTTAACAATTGCAAACAGGGACAAAACGAGACTGTAAAAAACTTTGCTTTTAGACAACAAATGAATGTTTTGTATTGTGTGATTTGCATAGCGCTACCTTCCAGTTTAACGTGTAAAATAAATTTTAATAGTGCTTTATGCTCAGTTGGATCTATACTTTCTAAAACATAAGTATAAGTATGCAGAAATTCGTTTAATTCTTTCTTATTCGGTTCATCAAAAGTTTTAATAATATCCATGGCCATTTGTAAAGATAAAACTGTTGTGGGAGCCATGTTCCACATGTTTTGATTATTTAAATCAAAATGTAATGAAGGTAAAGATGAAAACTTAGGATTTGTACGGGATTGGGGAGTGACGTTTACTTCACTATTAAAAACTGCGCTAACCAAATCTAAATTACTATTGTCACCTGAATTAAATGAAACGCGGTTCTCAAATATCGACTCTGTTGATCTGCTAATAACACGTTCCTGTGGCAGAACAAAGTCGGTTGTAGCACGTATTCTCCACATCAATCAATCAACACTAAATTATAACAAATGAGTTAGTTACAAGCATTAAAATGTGCAAACTAAAAAAAATTCTCTATTTTCTTCTAAAACTTTGAAATCTTGTTCTAAAAACTGTAAATTTATCGCAAAAATGTTACATATATATAAGACAGACAAAAATAAAATTTATGCTTGATTATAAATCATTTTATTTCATATTAATATCGTTATATTACATGTTCAAACATTGGTTGAATGAGAATAAAATTATTCTAACATCCGTAACAGCAGCAACCACGAGAAGGCTTCTGAACTTGAATATAAAGTAATACAAAATATAAAATATAATTTAAAATAGGTATAACTATTTACATCTAACATCCAAAGGCTATAAGTAACGCTTTGAGACAGAGCTTGATTTAATCCCACAAATAATGACTGAGCGTTCAAGCGAGGTATAAAGGGAATAAACTTTGTAAAATATAAGTCTTTCCTATCATTTGTCAGTCAATATTTTTGTGTTTAAATCAAGTACTGGTTGAAAGCATTGATTATATCGGCTGTCAGATGCAAATAATCATACATCATTTCTCTTGCTATGACACCTTCTTCATCATTCATAACATTTTTATGTATCTGCACTACATGAATATTTTTTCTATTGAAATTTAATTTGTTGAATTAACAGTGTATTAATTAGTTAATAGAGTATTGATTTCCCGCAGGAAATCGCGCTGGCCATTTGGTTTTTTTCCTCTCGGGAGCACGGTCGGTACAATTATGTGGGCATTCGGAAGTAATTCTTCAATGAGGCATACACAATTAATTTTCATAACCATTATTTCTTCATAAATATCATAGGGTTTGTTGTGTTCTGTGTTGTTGGTTCCTATCAATATAACCAGTATTTTAGATTTCTGATTCGAAAATTCGTCGGTTTTTATACGATATAAAACATTTTCCACTTTATCGCCGGTTTCCAATGCCGAAATTGGCAGCATGAACTTGTTGAAACTTGATCCAATTGGGATGCCTCCTGACATTCCTGCAATAAGGGAGGATCCAGTGAGAATAACATCGTGATCAATTTTCACCAATTTTAAATTATTTAAATGTTTTTGACGCCACGCTTCACTTGTTTTAGCAGTAGGGATGATGCATTTATTGTTATTTTCAAACTTTCCAGACATAGTGAATAACAGTAATAATACATTAACAATTTTTGTGATACAAACAAACTCGTAAATTCTGATAATTCAATCTTTTGTGGAAAAATATCTTTATCTGAAATCTGATACAAACAAGCCCAAATATCTAAATTATTATAGTTACTTACAGAAACAACGGGATGTCTGCACAAAATTCTAAATTATTATAGTAGGTTACGGAAACTCGCGGACTCGCGTGAACTCTCAAAAACAAAATAAAGCTTTGCTTCTTCTATTCGCGCGTCATTTTGATTTTTATTTTGTTTGTGCCACCTTCTGACAATGTTGCCAACTCAATCATAGAGCAAAACTGTAGATGTGCCTATGCCATATGCTTACTAATAGGACTGCCTAGCAACTAGACTCTAGTACACTATGGACCGTATTAACAAAACATAACTTTCACTATGTTCATCGCATGGATTCTTTTTGAGAGCAATTCTAATCACTTTTTTTAACTTTTCAATGAAATAATTAATGAATATTTGCACTATATCAATGGAAAATTGAAATATTTCAACATAATCTCAAAACTGATTGTTAGCATTTCCAAAAATATATTTAGTAAAAACTTAATAACTAAAATTTCTAAAGATTGGAACATTTTAGATACATAAATAATATAAATTCTTGAAATTTAAGAAGAGCACATAACTAAAAGTTATCAAACATAATGCAAAAGATGAAATAGAATCACCACAAGTCAAATATAGAAATCATATAGCAATGATCATTAGCTAATCTTAAATGTAATGCTGATGTAACAATTTGAAGTTTAGAATTACATATATAAAAAACATACATACAAAATATTGCGAACTAAAATCTAAACGGGCGATCCCATTGATGTGCCAAAAATTTGGTAATAAAAGGATCCGTTAAATTCAAAACCGGTGTTAGAGACAATGAATTTGATGACTTTTCTAAACCAATATAGGGATAATGTGGTGTGAAGACTGATTTCACTCCAGCTGATAATGGCATGTAGTACTAAGTGTAGTGGAAGATTTGTAAATAAGGATCTAACATTTAGGCTAATTAGTTTATAATTATAAGGGATGGAAATGTTATTGAGATGTTTGACAAGCTCGAACGAATTTTTTATATAATATGAGGTCTGTTTTGTGATTGTTGTTAGGACTTTGACGTTTCCTTTGTCTGCTCTGGTCACAATAATGTCGGGGTGATTTGTTAAAACTAATTTACAACTTTTGAGATCTCTAAGAATATTGTTCTAATTCGGAAGAATTGATATACGATATATTTTTGTTGCAAAAAAAGAGTTTTAGTATGTGATTTTAATTTAGGGTCTTTAACTTGTTGTAAACCACCATATATATCTACACCTGAAAGTAAGATCAAAACTCATCTTTATGCTGTTATGTTTTTTATTGCTATATAGCATGGCAAACATAATCATATGCAAATTAAATTAAAATTAGTGAACTGATAAACAAAGTCAAATTGAATTATATTTCTACATTGTCCGCAATAGTAATATTGTTCCTATATAGCTGCTTCGAAAATCTTAAAAAATCTAGCAAAGACGCTTCGAAAACTTCATTATTTATTTCAGCATATGCCGTTCGGGCTGCAACTAAAAGAAAGAAGTTATGAGTCACAGTTAATACATACATTTTAATTTACTGCAAGAATACCTTTTATAATTTTAATTAAAAGTAAAGAGGAAAGTTATCCCTTCGGTCACACCATGTGCATTATGCAGCCAACTTCTTTGTAAACAAGTTTTTATACAACATTTTTACTAGGATCTGCCTACCCAAACATTTTCATGTTCCTCCCGCTGGACACTGTTTTGGGATATTGCTTTGATAGCACCTATCAAGGCATAATTAAATATATGATTTTCCTTCACGTAGTGAATAAATAGATATGAATAAATAATAATTAAGATACAATAACTCTAAATCACTTACTTTCTATCCGTGACAATCTTTCCGTCGAGGCCTCTATAGGCAGAGGTCCCTCTGTCTGAGTGCCTTGACCAACAGTACTTTGTGTTATAGTTAGGGCCCTATTGAAGAAATATTGCAAACTTACTTCGGCTAGGTCTCTAATAGTACTTTTTGCGCTACTAGTTGATGGATCAGTATTGTCCTGAATCGCGTTTCCATTCAAAAAATTATGAAAATCCTCATATCAACTTTTTGCCTTAAAATTTGTTTCACAGATAATAGTTTTAAAAAAGAATTAATTAGGGACTCAATGTTCTAGTTTTCTCCTAGTTTTCATTCTCCTAGTTTTTCGTATTTTAAAAGCATGAGCCTTTTGACTTGCAAAAATTCTGCAAGTCCTGACATCATGCCAAATACGAGATTCATTCTGCGGCAAAGTGCTAACAGAAAGATCTAATATTTGTTCAGCTGACAGAACAATATGCATATAATAAAATTTCTTATGGCTACAGTTTAAAATTTTATCCAAACCCAAAGGAAACAAATCTTGCTCCTCCATGAAAATAAGAAGATCAACTAGAATATCTGTACAGACATCAGTTTTCTTTTTTTTCATGAAGGAGCCGATTATACTCATCCTTGAATCCGCAGCTCCTCTACACAAGTACTTTCTATAAGGGCAGTTAGGCAATTGATCAGGATCTGTCACAAATTTCCCAACACAGCGTGCAGGCAAAGATACTCGCGGTGGAAAAACTTTCTTCACCAATTTTTCCTCGGAGTACTTTTGTTTAGCCAGTGTACCAATGGATGGCTGGCCCCAACCTTGTGCAAAATTAGTTTTTGTAGTGCTTCTTGTTGTATTTAAAAATACAATAAGTGCACATATGTGCTTGCATCGCTTTCCAAGTTGAGCACAGCATGTGCAGAAAGCAACATTTGGACATATCTATATCTTTGAAGTAATGCGCAAATTGGTTCCTTAGACTAGTCATATGATTGATAATAAGAAATTTACTTGCTTCTATTTCATCAGTAACACATGTAGTTTTAAAAGAGGGAAACATATCAAAGTTATTACTTTTCATGCTATTGTATTTTTTTTCATAAATAGAATATGTCCGTAATATTGTCCTTTCGAACAAAAGCATGAATTTGAGATCCTTGCATTGATTTATTTGAATAACTTAGTCTTTTAAAAATGTCAACTAGATACGCAAATTTTGCGAGAAACTTCGTGTCATAAATTATGTCTGCTTCATCTCTTTTATTATCAGCAAGAAAAATGGCATTTTCTTTTTTGAGCTCAAACACCCTTTACTTTAGCACGGGAAAGCCAACGTGCTTCACAATAATAAAGTATTCTGAGCCCATGTCATCACACAATTTCCAAAAAGCCTTTCTCTTAATGGACTATTTTTGATAAAATTAACAACTTTTATTATAATTTCAAATACTTCAAGTAATTCTTTACCCATATCACTTGCAACAAGAGATTGCCTATGAATCATACAATGCGTCCAAACTGCACGAGGAGCCACTAGAGCCATAGATGGAGCTTCATCGGTGCACTGTCCAACACAGTTCAAAAGTGTAGTATATTCATGCTGTTACATTTGTCCTGACAAAATTGCAGCGAAAATTGTAGATTACTTGCATGTATTTTGCTGATTTGTTTTTGACACTTACTCAGCATTTAAAAACAATATTTTTGAAAGAGCTTCGCGCCCTCCTTGGGACGGCACCGCGCCCCCCAGGGGGGCGCGCTCCACAGTTGACCATATTTGCCTCGTGTTCATAATGAGTCTGAATAGTTTAGCCATGTTTTTTACTTTTTGTCTGTAGTCCAATGCTAAGACTTTATAACTCTCTCCAACATAACAAGCCTGTTTAGCTAGGATATCTTTCAGGTCGTTATTAAATATACCCAAGTGGCCTTTAATTCAGGCATCTGTGTTATATGGTGTTATATGGTCTAACAGAGTCAGGATTTTAAAAACAATGTTATTGGTAGAATTTTTCCAGTTACTTATTGATTGAAAAGCACTACGACTGTCTGTGAAGATGACCAAAGAGAATTGACACTTGAACAGCAATATTCTTATTTTCATTTGTCATTAGTGATAAAACATTTAACAAATGTCGAGAAGTGTGTTGATGATAAATTGTGCAATAATTTACTCGAAAACGACAAAATAGTTTTCAAATGACATCCCGATATAATAAAAAATGTGGTCGTTATATTTTATTAGGAGACGCAGCCTACCCGCTGAGAACAAATTAGATGACACCATTTAAAAATATTCATTATCTTACACAGACCCAGAAAAATTTGAATAAACAACTTAATAGTGCTCGAAGTACTATTGATATTGAACATGTATTTGGTTTATTGAAACAAAACTTTAGGCAACTAAATAAAAAGCATTTATCTTATTTGGCATTTTATAAGTGTATGCTGTGTTTTAAATAATTCGAACATCAAAGAAAAATTTGAATGTTTACAGAAAAGCGAAGAAGTTTGAACATTGAGTCCTCGGTTGAAGAAGAATGCACTGCTGAAACAATATATGCCCGATTGCTTCAGGATCAAATAGCAGCAATTTACGATAATTAAATTATAAAATATCAAAAGGATGTATCATAATTTCATAGATAGTCTGAATGAAATACAGAAGGAATTGAAAATAATATTTTAAAAATATTCAAAATGTTCTTTCATATTAGACAGCTGGTATTTCATTAGTTTAATATATTATATAATGATGTGTTTATATTTTTTTTTATTATTATGCTGGTTTTAACAATCAGATTACAATATAATCTATAAATTGAAAGTGATGAGGTTATTTTAGTTCCTTCTTTAGTTTTCTAATTGTGGCTTTTGTTTCTTAAATTATTTCCCACATTTCACCATTTTATTCTGATTAACAATTGTCTCATTTAATGTTTTTCAAAAAGAAAAATAGTATTATTGAATTCTATTGAATTCTTCCTATAGAATTTTTTGCAATGTATTTTAATTTGCTTTTTACTTTATTTTGCCACCAATCAATTATATTCGTA